TTTGGAATGGGCACAAATACAGATCTCTTCCAATCATTTGGCCAGATAGCTGTCTTCCAAATTTCTTGGCATAAATGAGTGAGCGCCTCCTGTGCCGCCTCACTTTCTTGTAAGATTTCAATTTTTATTCCATCATTAGCCATCGGAGAGATGTAAATAAAAATAGCAGTGAAATATCATCTCATGCCAGCATTGACAGCAAAGTTAAAAAACAAACAAGCCAGAAAAAATCAAATGTTGGTGAGGGTGTGGAAAGAATGGGACCCTCCTGCACTGCTGGTGGGACTGTAAAATGGTTCAATACCTGTGGAAAACGGTATTGTGATTCTCAGGAAGTTGGAAATACCATGTGACCCAGGGATCCATGAGAAATAAGAGCCAGGACACGAGTAGATATACGCACACAGATGTTCATCACAACATTATTCACAATAGCAAAAAGATGGAGACAGCCTAAATACCCATCAGTGGAAGAATGGAAAAATAACTTTTGGTACATACACACATTCAGCAATGCTGAAGAATAACAATGAATCTGCAAAAACACCTCATAAAATGGATGAACCTGGAGGATATTATGCTGAGTGAAATTAGTCAACCACAAAAGGACAAACATTGTATGAGACCACTATTATTGTGTAAACTTAAGAAACGATTTTCATATTAAAAGAAATGTTTTTGGATGGTTATCAGGGAAGGATTAGTCATTCACTGACTAGAGGGTAGACACATGTTAACTTGAGTGATGGGAAGGGCAATAAAGAAGAGGGAGGTTGGCAGAAGAATGATGAAGACAGATGAAGACATAGGGAGGAGGTATGCAGGATCTAAAGGGAATATAGGTAAATGGTATTTTATATACACAACCCAGGAGCAACAGTGTTCTGCGGAGACACAGACTGAACAGGTATGGGAGGAAGAGTGAGAGTATATATTTGTATATGGATATTTACCTTTGCTACAAACACAACTATGAATGTGGTGGAGCATACAGTGGGGAAAATGATGAAAACTTCTAAGATATTATCAAACATCTTAAGGCAATGAGTTTCTGGGCCTGGGGGCTCAGGACCATAGTCTCAGGGGACACCGTGATCAATTGGAATAACATAGTCCACAAAGACAATGTTCTACATCCTACTTTGGCTAATAACATCTGGGAACTTGAAAGCTCATGAGCAGCCATCTAAGGTGCAACTATTGGTTTCTCCATGTGCAGAAGAAAGAAGAGTGATGAGAACTGAAGATGCTTGGATTCAGTTAGTCCAATGGATTAGTGGAACATGTGAACATCAGTCTCCATGACTCTAAGACCACAAGAACTAGATGGTGCCTGTTTATCTCTACCAACTACTCTGAAAGGGATCACATTAGACAGAGTGGGAGAAAATTTGGAACAAAACTCAAAATTATATTTAAAAAAAGACTAGGCTAACTGGTCAGAAATGGACTGAAGGGCCCAAGACTATGGTCTTCGACCACCCTTAAGGTCTGGAAAGGAATTTACCCTAGTGGTCCAGTTTTCAGCCAAGCAGCAGATAGGTCTATGGGAAAGAGAGTGGGGAGAAGACAACAACACTATTAAGATAGACTCACCATGGAATGGTCATTCAAAATCTAAATGGCAACATTTCCCTAAGGACAAAGTTGAGAAGGGATGGGAAGGAGGGTGGAAGGGAACTAGGAACCACAGGGAGGAAGCCGGAGAACTGTTGTTGTAGGGAGGGGACTGCAATCATTGGGATGAAACAAAATGTTAGATTTGTTGAATGTAAAACTGATGATCTTGCCTGTAAACCATTTCTCAATTCAAAATAAAAAGTTAAAAAGAAAAGCTGGACAATGAATAAGGAAGACTGGAGAAGAACAGGTGCTTTTGAATTATGATGTTGGTGAAGAATATTGCAAGTACCACAGACTTCCAGAAGGAGAACCAAATCTGTCCTGGAAGAAGTACAGCCAGAATGCTTCTTAGGAATGAGGATGATGAGACTCTTGTTTCATATGCTTTGTTTATGTTATTAGAAGGGATCAGTCTGGAAAAGGCCATCATGCTTGGTAAAGTAGAGGGTCACTGAATAAGAGGAAGACCCCTAAAGAGATGGATTGACACAGTGGCTACAAAAATGGGCTCAAATATAGCAATAACTGCAAGGATGGTAGCGTTATGTTTTGTTGTGTTTCTATTGTTGTTAAGTGACACTGAGTCAGTTCTGACTCATAGTGACCCTGTATTTTCCTGGGTTTCCAAGAACAGCTAGTGGGTTTGAACCACCGACCTTGTAGTTAGCAGTTCAGTGCTTATCCTACAGCACCACACCAGGAGTCCATTCTGTTGTGTATGTGTATGGGGCACCAACTCAATGGTACCTAAAAACAGCAATACTTTACCGCAATAAAAAATATATACTAAGGTTAACTACCAAAATACTTGAACTAAGAGTTTACAAATTTCAAAAACTGGAAAGAAAAATAAATACAAGGTCTTCTGATTCAAAACTCAGGGATCTTTTCTCTAAATCAATGTCTATTTACACAAACTGAGGAGCATTGAAGGCTGAATCCAGAGGTTCAGGTAAAATACAGGTGCCTGCCAGCTTGTATCCTAGAAAGAGCAGAGTCCCAGCTTCCCACTGCTCTTGCACACCTGTTGTTGGGGCTGAAGATGAAGAATGCACTGGCTTCTGGCATGGGCACTGCCTTTTCTTTAAGGTGAAGCTCAGACAGTGGGCGGGGACGGGGGCCCACGGGCATCTCAGGCTCCTCTTCCTCCTCTTCTCCTGTAAGAAAAAAAGCACCAGTGTAAAGAACTCTACCCCTTTACTTCCATATACTTTCATATTGGCAGGAATGAAGACAGTGTTTGTATCTCTGGGAATGTAGGCTATCAACCCCCCCCCCCGCCACACACACACATACACACTCTGCCTCTCCCTGTGGGTAATGCTGGTACTGTGAGGTACAGACTTCTTGGCATCACCAGAAAGTGGGGCTATATGCAGGGTGACCAACTCATCATGGTTTACCCAGGACTGTCCAGGTTTTAAAACTGAAATCTCCCATGAAACCCCTTAGATCTAGGCAAACTGGGATGGTTGGTCACCCCAGGCATAAGGTACTAGGAAAGGTGACCAGGTAAGTTTAGGGCAAATATTCCCAGGCATTGGTCATCTATCTAGGCTGAGGTGAGGAAGGCCTGGCTTAGTTGACTTCCTGGGATCCCTTGAAAACAGTCTTGTCCTTGAATACTCCAGGAATTTAAAATCAACACTTTCTTCATTTCTGAAGACACAAAAAATTCATGCACTGTAGGAATAATACGGAGTTTGAACCACAATGTCGATGGTTGAAGCTCACCAGCCATTCCTTGGAAACTCTATACAGAGTTGCTATGGGTTGGAACCAACTCAATGGCACTCAACAACAACAGGGACAATAGGGCAATAATGTTAACCACACAGACCTTTTATTCAAAGACTGAGAATCGTCTTAAGACACTGACATAAATTAAAGAAGCCCTTTTGCCCTCCTGGTTGTTGTTGTTGTTGTTGTTGTTGTTAAGTGCCGTCGAGTCGGTTCCGACTCATAGCGACCCTGAACAGGGTTTCTGAGGCTGTAAATCTTTACGGGAGCAGGAAACCTTATCTTTCTCCTGCAGAGCAGCCGGTAGTTTTGAACTGCAGACCTTGCGGTTCACAGCCCGATTCCTAACCACGACGCTACCAGAGCTCCTTGCCCTCCTGGTTAGTGGCCATATTTAATGTGGACCAGGGTCAAACAGCTTATTTACTTATTGCTTACAAACACAGGGCCAGTGGGAGCCACTATGTGGCTGCATGTCCTATTCTACTCAAGTATATATTTTTTAATTACTTTAAGGTGAAAGACAATAGCATTGTTATTAGCAAGTTGTCTGTGGCCAGATGCCTTGATCCAAGTCTTGGCTTTGTTTCTTTCTAGTGATGGGTACTTTGTTGAGTACTCTCTGAGCCTCAGTTTCCTTATCTGCAAAATGGTATAATAATAATAGTACGTATGTACCTCAGAATGGTGCCTGGGCCAAAGGAAGTGCTATAGAAGTGTTAGCTATTTTTACTAATATCTCTATCCATGGGAGAAACTTTAAATACTAAACTAGTGTTTAGCATCTTTCTCAGTGTGATCCTTACATGCAATTTTCCCTTAATAAACCTTCCATTCACATTCAACTATTTTATAAATACTCACTATAGTGGGATGAATAATGTTCCCCCAAAGTCATGCAAACCCTGGAACCTTAGACTGCAACCTTATTTGGAAATACAGTCTTTGCAGATACATTTAGTTATGTATCTAAAATGAGGCTATATCGAGTTAGTTGTTAAGTGCTGTTGAATCAGTTTCAAATCATAGCGACCCTGTATAGGGTTTCTGAGGAGCAGCTGGTGAGTTTGAACTGCTGACCTTGCGGTTTGCAGTTCAGTGCTGTTCCTACAGTGCCACATCAGGAGTCTACTCTATTGGGTTAGAGTGGACACTAAATCCAATGACTGGTGTTCTTATGAAAAAAGGAGAGGACACATGGGGAAGGTCTTGTGAGAGCAGCAGCTGAGATTGGAGAGATGCAGCTCCAAGTCACGGAATACCAATGATGGCCAGAGACCAACAGAAACTAGGAAGACGCAATGCAGGATTCATTCCTAGAATCTTGAGAGGGAGTATGGCTACACTGTATCAACCCCCGCTGATCCCTTGATTTGAATGTTGAGCCTCCAAATTTAAACAATAAATTTATGTTTGAAGTTATCCAATTTGTAGTACTTTGTAACTGCAGCCCAAGGAAACAAATACTCTATCTATGCATTCTCTCTTTCCTGTGCTCTGTTTGAACTGCCCTGCATCTCCCTTTCTGCAGGGCGACAAGGGCTCCACCCCATACAGCATCAATCTCCTGGTTTTCCTGAGTTCCCTGGGCTCTAGGGATGACCTTCTTGTGGAATTCGGCAACACTTTCTGCCTCCCACATTCATATGCCACATAGCACAATGCCTTGGGTGACTGATGTTAAATATTTCTGTCCCATCTCTCTATGTGCTGAAAGCTTCTGGAGAGAGAGAAAACATTTTTGGCATACAGTAGCACTTATTTCTTGATGACAACTAAACTTAGATACCAACATTTGCTTCCCAAGGAAGGGAATTTTGCAAAAGAAGAGGGTCAAATGGCGACAAATTGGTTGAAAGAAGATACTTGGGGAGGTTCATTTTATGGACCATCTATCCCTTTATGCTCTCTCTCTTCTTCTGGTCAAAATGAAGCCAGGTGGTAGAGAGAGGGAGGAAAAAAAAAAAGCTTGGCCCAGTGAGTGGTACTTTATCAAGCAAGAAGCACGTAGAGACCTTTTGCTGGCGGACAGCAGCATATAGGCATAAATCAGATTCCTTCCCTAGGATAATTAGAATTGACCAGCGAGGCAATTAATATTTTCAGAGAAGAGAAACATGAGATGAAAAGTAGCGTGCAGGCCAAAGGGTTGAAGCGTTTTGATACTGAACCCTTTATATGTACAAGAAAGGTAAAGTCTTCTACTTTAAAAGAGAAGAGTAAAATCAGAGTTGGTCTAAATACTGATATTTACAATTTAATTGGAAAGGCGCTTAAATCCCTGTCTAGGTGTTTGTATTCTTTCCACTTTTGCTCTAAAAGACACAACATTTCATTACTAGTATTGACAGTAATTTCATAACAGGCAATTTATGCTTATTTTAATCATGTTTAAAGAAAACCAATTATCCTGGCTTAATACACTTCCAAGTTTCTAGTGAAGAATTTTACATGCTCTTTCCGCTGCATTAGTTTTCTTCACTGTATTGATTTCCATTTCTAGAGAGAATAAAGTTGGTCTATTCAGACATACACACTAGTGTGGGGCTCCGCGGAGAATAATTACCTATACTTCAGGCTTAAGAGGACACAGGTTTGAAGGACAAACACAAATTTTTAAAGGGACCAGAATTTGACAGCATATGATGCTTCGCATATATTATGGTTAAGGAGGAAAGCTGACAGATTAGGAAAAAATCAGATAAAGTTCATTTTGGGGGCTGGCAACAGAGCCACCTGGACTCCCACTTCTCAAATGCCAGTAGAATGCCTCTGGGATCTTTATTTTCTCATCTCTATTCTTGGAGGTCTGGAAACAGTATATTCAGTCAGCTACTGCTGTGCAGTGGAGTTGTTGCTGTTCAGAATGACAAGTTACAGTATTGAAAAATACAGACATACCTCACTGTACTGTGCTTCACTTTACTGTGCTTAGCAGATACTGCATTTTTCACAGATTGAAGGGTTATGGCAACCCTGCATCGAGCCAAGGTTACTGGTACCATTTTTATAATAATACATGTTCACTTTGTGACTCTGTAAAACATTTTGGTAATTCTCACAAGATTTCAAATTTTTTCATAAAGCTATTGTACACTTGATAGGTTACAAGACGATGCAGTATAGTAAATGTAACTGTAATGTTTATTTGTATATTTATATTGTATATTTACATATACATAATGTATATGTAAATGTAACTTTCATATGCACTTTCATATACATAATGTATATGTATATAGCTTTCATATACATAATGTATATGTAAATGTAACTCATGTGACTAGCTTTACTGCAACAATCACTTTATTGAGATGGTCTGGAACAGAACCCACATATCTGAGGTATGCCTGTATGGTGAAATGCTCCATACATTGTTGTTGGTACCACTTGCCCCCTACCTATCTGATACTCATTTTCACCTCTGTGTTTTGCGTATGGTCAATAAAAACAGAAGCATTTGTTAACATGCAGTGCCTCTCCGCAGCTCCACTCTTGCCCATCTTCCATCCTTTTACAAGGTAAGTTGGAGTCTGATCTTGTCCTCCTCTGTCTAAGATCTTCTTGTCCTCCTCTGTCTTAAGATCTCCACTCCCATTAGATGAAACCCACTCCTCTTGTGTGACTTTGGAAGCCCTGCTCAGTCTCTTCCTGTCTATTCTCTTACCTCATCTAGAGCTCTCCTCTGTGTTCTCTCTCTGCTAGGCACATTGGCTGTCTTTGGGTTCCTCTACTGCCAAGCAACTCTGCACTGAAGAGATTCTGCACTTGTTAGTCCCTTCATTTGGAAAGCTCTTCCCACTGATTTCCACACATCTGGTTGGATGGTCAAGTGGTTAACATGGTCGATTATTAACTGAAAGGTTGGAGACTGGAGTTCACTCAGAGATACCTTGGAATAATTTCAAGTCAGCCATTGAAAACCCTATGGAGTACAATTCTACTCTAGCATGGTTCTACTCTAGTATATAGCTGGGGTTGCTGTGCACTATTGACAACAATTGGTCTAGTTGGTTCTTTTCAATCATTCTGATTTTGATCCAAATGATTGCTCTTCAAAGAAGTCATTATGGAACCTACAAAGTAATCTGGGCTACCCAGTTATTATCTTCATGTCATCAATTGCTACCTGATGTTACCTTTTCTTTTGGGGGGTTTCCTTGTTTAAAGTCTGTCTCTCCCACTGAAACATTAGCTCCATGTGAGCAAAGGCCTTCTCTGTCTTGCCCAGAGTTATATCTGCTGTGCCTGCTGCAGTGACTGGCACACAGTTGTTGTTGTTGTTAGGTGCCATCATGTCGGTACCGACCTATAGCGACCTTATGCACAACAGAACAAAACACTGCCCGATGCTGAACCAACCTCACTAGCGTTGCCACACTTGAGCCCATTGATGCTGCTACTTTGCCAATCCATCTTGCTAGGGTTCTTCCTCTTTTTTTCGTAGGGGCTTTATAATCAATTATCAAATGAATATCTCCAAGGTTCTATACCAATAGTATGATCTGGAAAGAACTTCCTCCTTCAACTCCCTGAATTCAAACCACATCAAGATCACCCTCCCCCATGAAGTGTCCTTAGGCTTCACCACCTCTCACTGTTCTTTTTCTCCTGGAAGCTCTTTCAGCATTCAGGACTCCCGGCAATATCTGGTTCTGTGCTATACATTCTCTGGTGGCGGTCATGATTTTTTCATGTATATTTGTCATGCACACTTAATGACTCCTTAAGAACATCTGCAATTGCAAGGAGTCCAGGACCCAAAAACACACTGCCCTTGAGTTGGCTCTGACTCATAAAAAACCTAGAGGACAGGGTAGAACAGCTCCATAGGGTTCCCAAGGTTCTACATTTCTACCAAAGCAGATGGCCTCATTTTCCTTCCTGTGGAGCAGCTGGTGGGTGGGTTTGAAACGCTGACCTTTCAGTTAGCAGTCCAATGCTTAACTCATGGCTCCTCTTTATAAACGGAGTAAAATCTTGACCCAATACTTTTCTTCCTTGGGTGAGTGGGTGTTTTAAAATGTAGTGTATAGTCATTTGGGAAGCTGAAGCCAACTGGTAGCATTGAGGATTAAATAGAGGGCTAGCACTGGCTCAATGGCCCCTTGGTGCCCATGAGAAAAAGGCTCCTCCTCTGGGTGTTTGTTCACAGCCACATGAGGGCAAACCCCTGGGGAAACAGAGGGCAAGGCTGGATTTCAGCTCCCATTTGGGCACTTTGACACATGTCTTTGGTTACAACCTGGACAACCAAACACAGAAGCCCTGGAGAGCAGAGTAGGAGTAAGAAAGAGAGCAGGAGTGAGAAGGAGTGACAGCATGGATGGTATGGAAGAGTGTTCTCTGACATTCACCTTCTTGTCTTGAGGCATGTTCTCAGTGCAGCTCTAGCTAGCCTCTGAGGCTGAGGCTTCCCCCACCCCGGGGCACCTGCCTGGACTGGATACAGCAGGGTCCAGATGCCCAGAGGCTGTGAGAATGGGAGCAGCAGTGCTTGGGGATGGAGTTGGCAGGGGTTCTCTGCCTCTCTAGGTTCCAAAGAAAGAAAAACAGTAGAGAAAGGGGATGAAAACAGCAAAGACTGCAGGCTATGTGACCTGTGGAGGAATCCTTTTGTACCTTTTTCTGTTCCTGGTACAAAAGGACCCAGGAGTTGACATCAGAGTCCAGGAAGGCAGGAAATGGAAGGGCAGGAAGAGCTGGGAAGCAGAAGCTGATTTAAATTTTGAGATTGGAGGCCCGGGGGGAGGGCTCAGGCAATGTCTCTTGCATAATAAAAAAGCCAAGGTATAAGCTCTTTATCTGCTTCTAACCTCTCTTGTGATATTTCATTCTTTTAATGAGCAAGGAGATCCTGCTTCCTCCAAGTAGCAGTCTATGCCCTCCAGTTAGGATAGATGTGTGTAGTCAGGAGCCATGGGTTCTAAGAGCACACTGTCCTTGGGGCCTCCTCTGTGAGAAAATGGAACCAGACATAGTAGAGAGTGGGGATCATGGAAGACAGCTGAAAGACCGAATGGTGGTGGAGTGGAGTTGGGGACAAGAGCAGGCCAGCCTCAGTTATCTGTGGACCAGGGAAGAAGGCAGGACAGTCTCAGTTAACAGTAGATCAAATCCAAGGTGGAGAGATGACAGGGACCAAGAAAAAGGCAGGCATGGGTTTAGAGGAGGGAAAGGGCACATTCTAGAAAATCCTAAGGGACCTGCGGGAGTGTGGGAATAGCTTTCCAATTTAAAAACATAACCATTCCCTGAATCCTCAAAGTCATCAAAAGTTACATGTTGGGTCAACAGTCATTTCTATGATGGCTAACATAATGACACTAGCCTCATTATATTGTCCTTGATCCTCTTCTCTTCGGCCTCATTAGTGCAACAAAGAAGAGAAAAGCCACAAGTAGATTCAGAATAATGAAAATGAGATTACTGTCTGTATTAGAGCTTAAATGCTAAAGCTCTTGGTTTGTGGAAGGCTGTGGTCCACATCAGGAGACTTAACTACAGTTTGAGTCTTGACATTAACTCATACACCATTTGAGTTCTTTATGTGATTTCCGCAATGCTTGCTAGCCATTAAGCCAGTAATGTGACTATGTTTAGACATGTCTGGGGAAAGCCTGTTGTTAAGTACCATCAAGTCGGTTCCAACTCATAGTGACCCTGTATAGGATTTCTAAGAAGTGGCTGGTGGGTTTGAACCACCAACCTTGCAGTTCATAGTCTAATGCTTAATCTACAGCACCACACCAAGACTCCTGGGGCAAACCTGTTGTTAAGTGACATCGAATTGGTTCCAACTCATAGAGAACCTGTATAGGGTTTCTGAGGAGCGGCTGCTGGGTTTGAACTGCCAACCTTGTGGTTAGCAGTTCAGTGTTTATTTTACAACTCAGGAAATGTGGTTGAAAGTAGATTAGCTCTAATTTTGCAAAGATGCTCACACTAGGGAACTTGCCTGGGCATTTATGGAAAGCAATCAATCAGAAACATGGCATCTAATTTGATAGATGTTGATGTTGATATTAAGTGCTGTTGAGTTGGTTCCGACCCATAGCGACCCTGTATAGGGTTTCCGAGGAGCAGCTGGTAAACTTGAACCACCGACCTTGCAGTTCAACCTTGCAGTTCAAATGGCTTTGCAGTCTGGCGCATTAACCCACAGCACTACACCAGAACTCCAGTTTGATTGATACTTGTTCTGGTATTGTTTTGTAACCATCTTGTGGCTATGACTCAAGGTCACATGTAGCCAGGTAATAAAAACCCCAGGACCAATCCTTCAACCTTCCAAAACTTGCAATTGGTTTAATATTCCAATCATGGTTCGTTCCCACTTCTATAGTCCCACTTGTGACAGTGATGGATCGACCTGTCACCAATCATCAGCTTGTGATGATTTCCTTTATTCTCTGTTCTTTACATGAAAACTATGAATGTGAGTTGGTGAATTCCACTGGCCTCTGTACTGATGGTTTCCCTTATCTGAGATAATTGTCTCTGTTCTGTTGAAGGCTTAATAAAAGGGTCTCAACAGAACATGGAAGGAGACCTGGTGGCTCTGCAGGATAAGCACTGGAATGACACCCACAAGATAAATTGTTCAAATCCACCAACCAGTTGCTTCTCAGGAGAAAGACAAGATTGTGCTCCTGTAAAGATTTACAGTCTCGAAAACCCTATACAGGGTAGCTATGAGATGGAATGTATTTGATGGCAGTAGGTTTGCTTTGAGTTACAGAACTTGGAGTCCTGATGGTACATTGAGTTAACCATTGGGCTGCTAACTGAAAGGTCAGTGGTTCAAACCCACCATCTGTTCTATGGGAAAAAGATGAGGTAGCTTGTTTCCACAAAGATTTAAAGTCTCAGAAACCCTATGGAACAATTCTACTCTGTCCTATAGGGTTGTTAGGAGTTGGAATCGACTCAGTGGCGCCCAGCAGCACCACCACCATTATCAACTGGGGACAGATGATTTCTGGCTTCCTCATAGGTTAAATAAGATCATGTTAAAGTAGTGCTTTTGTGTCCTTTGGGGGCAGGATTCTACATACATTTGACATTTTATTATATCATATGTTGTGAAATCAGTAAGTTATATGATTTATTACTATGACATATGTTACAGCATTATGCTCATTTAATCATAATAGTAAATCCCAAATCTGCCTTGGCCGTACTCAGAAGGCAGTGCCGAGCACAAGGACAGTTACCACCACAGACATATCACCTGTCGTTTTATAAAATGCTGTCAGGTCCAGCTGGGGCTCTAGTATTTCTATCTAATTTGTAAACTCCACTTCCTTTTAGATGACTTTTATGTCAAAGGTCCTTAGATGTCCCTCAAAGATGCCCTTTCTGGCTCATTTAAATCCCCGAGCTTGCCTTCCTTTTACATAGAATTGCAGACAGTATCACCAGCTTCAAGCTTGCAATTAGTCATAGACGTAGGATTTGTTGGGGAAATGGACTGCTGATTTACTAACATGCCCTCTCTGTGTAGGTTAGGCTGTATTTGCACTGGTAGCCATGTTAGATAGCTGAAAGCCTTCTACATTTATGCACAAAACTAGATTTTCTTTCTCCATCCATTCTCTGCTGAATTTGTCTACCAGGGAACTTGCAAACTGCTGACCTCGCAGTTAGCAGCCCAGCTTGTAATCCACTATGTTACCAGAGCTCCTTCCAGATGAAATTGGTCGTGTTTGAAACAGAGCCAGGAGATGTTTAGCAATGTTGATGTAAGCTAGAACCATTGGTTCCTGGTAGTGATGGTTACGTGCCATGGAGTCAATTTTAACTCATAGCCACCCTGTATAGTGTTTCCAAGGCTGTAAATCTTTATGGGATAAGAAAGCCTCATCTTTCTCCCATGGAACAACTGGTAGTTTCAAACTGTAGACCTTGAGATTAGCAGTATGACTCATAACCACTACACTATCAGAACTCCCTAACACACTGGTATTCCCATGTAGTTTTAGAATTTAGAATTCTTAACCCCAGTGTTCCAATCTCTGGGTTAGACGATGGGATTGGTACCTGTATTTTCTGGGTTGGGGTAAGGACTCTTGTCTTCGTTTTCATTGGGTTGGAGGTCATCCATGTTGATCTAGTTAGCCAAAGGGAAGAAGAAGAAAGAATCCAATTAGATAAATTCTATAGTTTTAGAGACTTGGCTGAGCTGCTGACTCAAAAATATGACTTTGTAACTTTGGACAAATCCTTCAAGACATCAACAGAAGGCTAGGATTTAATCAGTCTGCCTTCTTTTCATGTTCTCAGTTCTTTTGCTCCCTCTTCCACACCACTGGTCATAGTTCCATTAAATCTCTTTCCTCCCTTCCTCCTTTCCATGGTGGTCTTGTTCTGGGAATATTGCGGCCCTCATAATTCCTGGTAGGAGATAATGACTCACCTTGGTGGTGGGTGGGGACTCTCCATCAGCCGTAATGGATTTCAGCTCAATTTTCTCCTCCTTGGTCTCCTCTACTGCCGGCTTTTCCACCACCTCTTGTTTCTTCTCTGGGCTCGCAGTCCTGGCCGGTCAGCAGGAAAAAGAACAAATGGATGTTAACCGGTATGAAGAAGGGAATAGCCCTGTGGTCTGTTGGGAGCCAGTGAGAGAAGATTCCCTGGGTTTATGTCCATCTTCCTTTCCTCAGGACACATACTGTGTGCAGCCCAGTCACAAATGCAAATGGGCTAGTCCCAGGACCCTAGGCACCTGGTTATACCTGACTCTGTATGGCAGTCAGTTGGCCTTTTCCAGCATCTCAGCTGCTCCAGTCTATATCAGAGAAAGACTCTTAATACCCTTTAGAATTGGTTCCTGGAGGGACTCTACCTTGTCCCATGTAGATATTGGTGAGATGCAATACAGAGCCCTGCCATGCCTTCTTATCACTGTAGATGAGTTACAAAACAGTGACGACTGGTCACTCTTTAAGGTGGCACTCTATTTCTCCTCTTAGTGGTTGCCTGTTTCTTCTCCCCACCCTTTACTAGCATGGCCTCGCCTCTCAAAAAAGAGAACCCTTCTCCCACCAACTTCCCAGACAGATGGGAACTATAATAGCTTTGTAGAGACTGAAATGTATGATGGCCTCTGCTTTGGAGCAATGCCTAGGAATTAGGAGAGAAACTCAACTTACTGGGATGTGAAGGAAGTACCCTTCTAGGGAGGATAGATAAGAGACCACAATGCCCAAACCTCTCTTTATCATCAATGGAAATGGCATTTCAAAGATGAGACCGTGGGACCCTGGGTATGGGTTGGCTTAGAGGGTTACCTGGCCAGCTTCTTTCTCTCCTTCTCTTCTTCCTCCTCTTTTTGAGCAGATGTTAAGCTCTCCGCATCAGCCAGGTTGTCCACAGCAATGGCCAAGAACACATTCAGTAGGATATCTGTTTGTGTCCATTCTTAAAGGAAATAACCCTTGGGGATTCTGGTGGCTCCAGGGGACAGGGAGGACACAGGACATGCAGGAGTAGAGTTTTCAGCAAAGAAAGTGTGACAGGAATTCACTCTGAGGGGTTCAGTGCCCAACAGGGCCCCTTTCCACTCCCCTCCTCTGGGAGTTTCTAAGGGGTTTGCAGGCTAAAACAATGAACCCTGCCTTGCTCTTGAATTGCTCGGTTTCGTTACTAGTTTCCCCAATGAGAAGGCTGGATATAATTGACGTTATAAATGGCATTGTCTCTAGTAGAATGGTTTCTCTTAGGAGCAGTTCATTATAACTGGGTGCTGAGGAGGCAGCCTGGTACCTCAGTCAACTCTTAATATGAGTCATGCATACAAAGACCCAGGGAGGGCCGGCTGGAACTGGTGCCAACTTGGAAATTCCTACTGGAAGCCATTCTTTGCTCTTTTCTGCTCCCTAACCACCTCGAAGGGAAATACTATGGGCCAGAGAACTGTAGAATCAAAGAACACATAGCTAGAAGGGGGTCATAAAGTTTGTTAAATCCAACCTTCCCCCTTCCCATTCTCCCAGACCCCAAACATTCACACCAGTTCACATGCAGAGAAAGTGAAACCCAGGGAGGGTGAGGACTCCAAGGATGCTACTGAATACCTCACCAGTGCTGGGCAGTGGGGTAAGGGCTTTGCATACATAACCACATTAAAGCTCACAATGACACATTCAGTAGCAGACACTACTCCTCTATAAGAAGGCTTAAGAAAGTTCATGGAAAAATGGAATTGAAAGATAATAGAATTTTCTGTGAACTTTTTGAAGCCTCTTTGAAATTATCCCATTTTACAGATGCTGAGGTAGAGAAGTTTTACTTTGCCTCAGATAACCCAGATGGTAAGTTGTGAAATGGTGTTTAACATGCCTATTTTTCAATGTGCTTTATCTGGAATTCCAACCTGGGACCCCTGAATCTTGGGTCAGAGTTCCTTCTACTCTAAAACTGAGAAGGGGAAGAGAAGAAACATTCTTAATTGAGCACCCCACCTCAGAGCAGATGAAACAGCCCTACGGCAGCAAGTTGCCAACTCTAGGGTAGTAGTCATAGTGTTATTGTTGTTGTTAAAGGTCAGTTCTGACTCATAGGGACCCCTTCTGAGAAGGGGCTGGCAAGTTTGAACCGACAACCTTGCGGTTCACACCGACCTTATGTCTAGTGCTTATCCTACAGCGCCACACCAGGACTCCATGGTTCCACTGTGGTCTGTGTGAATGGCTACCCCAGCACAATGCCAGGGGGTACCGTTAGCCAGGATTAGGATATGAAAGTGTCACCCGGAGTCAAGCAATGCTGCAGTCTGAGAGAGTTCAATAAAACGAACTTACATCTCCACCTATGCCAAAGCTCCAGGCTTACAAAACCCACCTCCACTGCTACAGTGGCCCTTGGCAGGGAACCGTTCTTGCCCCCAAAGCCGGTCTTCCCTGTGCTTGCCTGAGGGTCTAAGAATGGGCAGCCACAGTGAATCAGTATCTACAGTGAATGCTGCAGTTCAAGGGAGGGTAGGGAGGTAAGGGTGGGGAGGCAGAAGCAAAGGATACAATTTCCACAGATGAAGAGGATGATGAAGTAAATACAGACTAACATCCCTGGAAAAGAGGGGCCGCCATAAGCCATGATCCCATCATACATCACCGAATTCCAGTCCTCCCCGGTCAGGATCTGAATGACACATTCCCACCAATAAGGGACACAGCGTTAGACCAACAGCAAACCCCCAAAACTCCCCTGCCCTGCCCCACTATGTTAACAAAAATGTTCAAAATCTCTTTTCTTCTTCTTTCCCTCCTTTTGGCCCCAAGTCTCCTCCCCTGGGATTCTGAGCTATTGACCTGGGCAAGTTGAACTCTATTCTTAGACAAAGTGCATGACATTTGCGTAGTATCATCTGAGAAGTGACTAAAACGGCTTTATGTTAAAAACACACGTATGATACAGGATATGGCCACCATTAGCCATCCCATGGATCGAGGCATCAAGGGCCCCCAGACAACATGAATATGTTCATCAAGAGAGTAATATGCTACACCAGTTTCCTCCAAACATGAGTCATTTGGGTACCATCTTTAAGACGTCTGTAACATCCACAGCATTCATTTTTATCTATAAATTAATCTATTTTAAAATTTAAATAGGCATTGCTTACTTTAGCCTTGTCCTAAGCAAAAACGCCTTTGAAATCACAAATTTGATGGGCTAGTTACAAGTTTTTTTCAAGAGCCAAATATGGTAAGTAAGAAACAGGAGCTCCAAAACTCTCTCCTCTCCCAGCAAGAGCTGTTTTGTTTTCCTTTGTTTAATTTTTACTCTTTCCTGTATTAATTTATTTGAATGAAGAGTCCCAAGGTTAAGAGTTTTTAAACCACTCCATTAGATTTTTTTCCAATGGTCCATCCAACAGTGTGATTCCATGGGGGTCTGTGGTAGAAGGAACTGTAGAAAGAACTCAAGACTCTCCTGGGCATGGACCCTCTCTGGCCCAGTGAAAGGATGATGCTTTCCACCCATCTTTCAATGCTCTTTCTTCCCACCCCTTACCCTGACTCTTGGTCATCATCACAGCGGAAAAGAGGCCATACCTGAAACACGGTGAGGAGAGACTGGGGAAAGTTATCGAATGTGCTCCTCCTGGTTTGCATCTCATCAAAGTTGAACTTTCCTCCAAAGAGCTGCATTCCCAGGAGGGAGAAGATGATGATGAAGAGGAAGAGGAGAAGCAGCAGGGAGGCAATGGAGCGCACAGAGTTGAGTAGGGATGCCACCAGGTTGCTTAAGGAGTTCCAGTACCTGAGGGCCAATATAATGAAGATTAGCCTTCTTTTCCACTGCTTTCCTTACCATCATTCCTCATTCACTAGAGATTATAGAACAGATAGCAACATGCTTGTCCTTCTCCCTTTCCTTGGGGGTAGTGGGTGGTAGGATCCCAACATGAGCATGGAGCTAGTGAATCTAAGGGCCCAGGGTCAGCAGAATGGTGAAGTGAGGGAACTCAGGCAGCAGAAGCCTGAGTTCCCACTTAGCCTCTGCCAAGTACTTGTTGTATATGCCCTTTTTATTTAACTTCTTTTATTTCTGTCTCCCCATCTGAAAAAAGAAAAGAAGATGATAGTAGCATGTACTTCATTAGGCTGTTGGAGGACTACGTGAGATAAACCAAAAAGCCCTGATTCTAGAGGGGGTCATGGGAGCTTCTCAAATGGATCCTCTCCTTCCATGTGGGACATCTGGGTTTGAGTCCTGACCAAGGCACCTCAAGCACAGCCATCACTCTTGTGTCAGTGGTGGTGTGTGTGTTGCTATGACGCCGAATACGCTTCAGCAGAACTTCCAGATGAATATGGACAAGGAAGCAAGACCTGGCAATCTATTCCTGAAAACCAGGCAATGAAAACCCTAAGGATTGCAACATTTCAGTCCATCATCCACCATGGGGATGGTGCCGTCTGCACTGCAGTTTATTCTGTCGTACATGGGGCTGCCATGATGGCAGCTAACAACACTGTGGTGCTGTAGGATCAGCACTGGACAGCTAACAGCAAGGTCAATGGTTCAAACCTATCACCTGCTCCTAAGAAACTCTTTACAAGGTCGCTATAAGTCTGAACAAACTCGATGGCTCTTACCAACAATACAACACGGTGTAGGCTATACTTCTACTGAGATGATAAAGGTTAGTAATTACTGCTATTTAAGGGTTGTTATTGAAGAGAAATAGTTTTTTTCCAACAGTGCTGACCTTAGCCCACCGGGACAGCAGCTGCCTCCTAGAGGCATATAAGTGACGTCACTCATGGGTAAGAGAGGGTGCATGGTGAAGTAAGACTTCCCAAATTTACCATACCCTGAGAATTAGTTTCAAACAAAACAAAACAAACAACTGCACCAAAAGCAACCCTCACTGGAGATTTTAATTCAATAGCTCTTGTTTGGGACCCAGAACTCTGTATTTTTGAAAAGCATCCCATAGGATTCTTAGAACCTGGCAAGTTTGGGAAATCCTGGGTTACAACAAACCCATCACCCCACTGGGAAAGTCCTCTGTGAGTGGGGCAGGGAGTTTATTGCCTAAGCTCTGCCCAGATCAGAGATGGACTCTCCTTACAGTCTCTGCATATCTATCTCTTCACTGTAATACCCCAAACTCCCAATCTAGTGCTATCAGGTGTATTCCAATTCACGGAGACCCTATGTGTTAGAGAGCTGTTCCATAGAGTTATCTTGGCTGTAATCTTTAGTCGAGCAGAACGTTATGCTTTCTTTTCACAGCACTACCGAGTGGGTTCAAATTTTAGATTAGGAGCCCTGGTGTGTCTCTAGGATAAGCACTAGAATGCTAACCGCAATGTCGGAGGTTCAAACCCACCAGGGGTTTCTCGGAAACTCTATACAGAGTTCTTATGAGTTGGAACAACTGCATGGTGCTTCACAACAGCAGTCATGTGCAAACCACTGCACCAGCCATACAAAGGGCCTTTACTGTGTTGTTGTGGTCATCGTTGTTAGCTACTCTAGAGTTGGTTCTGAGAGAAACACTGCCTGGTTCTGCATCATCCTAATAGTTGTTGCTCTGCTCAAGTCCCAGGGAGAAGCCCTTTCTCCTGTAAAAGAGGGGGCCTACTGATGACTGCTGGATTCGGCTTGGCAACTCGTGAAAAGGAAAGTTCAGGGTAAGAAAATGTATGCTAGCAAAAGGCATTAGAGTTGTTTTTAGGTATCGTCGAGTTGTTGATAACTCATAGCGACCCCAGGTGACCGAGCAGAACTACCTCACGGTAGGGTTTCTAAGGTCATCATCTTTACCAGAGTAGATGCTGTTGTTGTTAAGAGCGATCGAGTCGGTTCAGACTATAGCAACTCTGTACAGGGTTTCTGAAGAGTGGCTGGTGAGTTAGAACCACCAACCTTGTGGGTCTTTTCTCCTGCAGAGCAGTTTGATGGATTGGAACTGCCAACCTTTCATTGGCAGCCCAGTGCTTAACTATTGTGCCATCAGAGTTCCTTTGCAAAAGGCATACAGCCCCAAACTGGAGCAAGTACAAGACCAAAAACAATCTCCCAGTTCCCTACAGCTCCAGCCCTGGATGGTCTGCCTTCCATGTCAACATCTTGATCTCCTTTATTTTATTTAAGACATTCCCAGCTCATTACTGATACAGTGAGCTGGGTTTGCTTCCTAAATGAGCGAGCAGCATGCTAACCACCCCCATGAGCGTCTCACAGCTGTACCCCCAGCCTGGGCTCTTCTCTGGTTCCATATTAAGTGTCAGAAGCAGATGGGCCAACAGTCTGAATGTAAACATGAACTTCTCCCCAACCTGGATCTTGTAATGCTCCTCTCCTTCCCCCAATCCAGCCTGTTCCCACCTTTATTTTGCCTGTCAGCCACACCCCCTCCACTGGCAGAATATGAATATGTTCATTTGTTTCTGTTCTGTAGATACTCTTAGGTATGATAGTCTTGTATCAACAAATAGGATCTGAATTCTTCATTATCCCTTCCTTTGTGCACAAATAAATCTAGCACAACCCAGTACATTTTACAGACTGCCTGTTGACCCAGTAGGCTGGAGGTTGCAGCAACTGTTCTGTGTAAAGCAAGAAAATACTGGGACCTCTCTCAAGGCTGGGCTCTCCATTAGTATATATACAGCATTGAATGAGTTCTAGCCACTTCCCCAGGTTCTTTACCAAGATTCTCATTCCTGCTCACCCCACTCTCTTGGAAATAGTACACAGAAGTTCCACATAGATTTACTGCATGAAATTTGCTTTACAAATGCTCTGCCAACAATAGATCACTGTGGCCAAATCGAAGGGGATTTTTTTTTTCACCCTGGAGGATGAGAACAGTTGGGACAGGTTTAAATTTAGTTTTGACGCTCTCTGGAACAGAGAGGAAGTAGGGTGAAGCATTTCAAAGTACTCAAAAGCTATTGGTTCTGTTCTATCAAAGATCATTTAGGATAGCCAGATCAGCATTCTGTTCCATACCTAGAGTGTAAACAACCCAACCCTAAGCTATCTGAAAGTTCTAGTTCAAGGAAGGACTTGGGTCACTTTATACTGTAGAAGAGGAAGAGGAATCTCCAGGATGGCAAACACAAAGATAGACCTACAGGAGAGAAACAAATGGAGATAAAAACTCTCCCCAGATGGAGATTTCAAGCAAGAGAGGCAAAAGGAAAAGGTAACAAAATGAGGTAGGGTTAACAAGATGGGGAGTTTAAAGGCAGACTCTAATAATGGCATTCATGGAGGTTAGAGTCTTTGTGGGGTCCTGAGAAGCTTAGGGGCTAGAAAGTGATGGAGTGGGTGAGGGAGTGCACAAATGGATCTCATGCTCTCAGCCAGACTCTGGTAGGGAAATGGTGACATTTTGAACCAGCAAGATATGCAAAGGCTTTCAACTGGAAGTGTTATGGAGGTTCACATGTGGTCATGATTCACCATCATGTCTATATGTGCTGAGTCTAACATTTCAGGGAGTGGTAAGGGAGGAGCAATAGGAGAAAGAAAGAAGACTGAAGATTTAAGAGGAAAAGTAGCCAGGGTTGGAGGGATTTTGGTACTTTTAAAAAACAACTATGTTAAAAAATTAGATCTAATTAGTAAATGTAAAACATTTCTAGATTTGAAACATTTCTAGATTTAACTAGCTAAAACTCTTCTTCCTCCCCAAAGAATGATAAGTCAGATTGGGCTGATCAAATAGATACTGAATCTTTGCAACATTTGTAGCCCCATAAAGTCTCAAAGCAGGAGAAAGAACTCAATTCATCCTGTGGCTGGAAGGCCCATTGTCATGGGTGATTCACCCAAAGATGGCAGAGCTTTTGACCACATGCAGGTTATTCTCACTGAGATCAAAAGCTTGCCTTCCTGTTATAATTCCCCAGGCCACAGTGCCACAACACTTTGGGCACTCAGTAATCAACTGACTTACCGCCTCATGTAGGAGCCCCAGTTCTGTTATGTCTTTTTAAAAATTATTTAAATGAGATACACAGGTTGGCTGTTATTCACATACACAATATACTCTCTAAGGAATTCCCATAGTTTGACAAACACAAAGTGTAATGGGAGACCAAACCATGCTAATAATTCATTTTCTTCACAATGATACACCAAGGTTCCCTTCAGGCTGCATGTATGTACCCTGTTCTTATCCATTCATCAAATTATTGGGAATGCAAGTGACTAAGAGTAATGGTGTTGCAAGGGCAATTCCAAATTAATCTATATATATTGGTTTAAAGTACATCATTCACAAATTTGTATCTTACGTCTTAAAAACCCTGAAAAATACATATTACTGTCAAGTTGATTCCAAACTCATAGCAGCTTCATAGGCCAGAGTAGAACTGTCCCATAGGGTTTTCAAGGCTATACTCTTTAGGGAAGAAGACTGCCATGTCTTTCTCCTACAGAGTGACTGCTGGGTTTGAACTTCCGACCTTGCAGTTACTAGCAGAGCTGCTTTACCACTGTGCCAATAACAAATTATGTATCACATAGAGTACAACTTCTCAGGACACGCCAAATCAAGAAATCATGGTTGAGAACCAGTGGTCTAGACCAAATTTTCCAAGTCTTGGACCACGAGCTCTGAGTGGGAGATGGGCAGTTTGGGATTACAAGAAAGGATCTACAAATCCACAGTACATCAAGTCTTGTAGCAGACTAAATAAACAACTTGTCTTGCATGAATACAACCACTAGTCAAATGTATACAGATTTTATCACTGTATACATTTGTGTGCAGTCCTGGTTTGGTGCTGTAGGCT